TGTCTTTATTCATGTATCAAACTCAAATGTTTGTCAATGATCACAAAAAATCGCAGATTATTTTGCATACTTTCGTTCAAAAGTATGCAAAATAATATGTTCAAAAGTTATATTACACTGGTACATAAATGGCGTGAGTTATAGTGGAATTGATGTGCATATTCGTTAAGATGATTGACGACTTTTCAATGCTTGATTTGATAGATAATTCGAGGATGTCATATACAAAGTTGCCTATAACTGGAAAAAAACCACGTGGGCTATAAAGTTCTTATGAATTTCGTATTAAATGATATGTTTAAGTCCACATGCAGACAGACATTTGACGAAAGGGTACATGACGGTGTGTTACGTACATCTCGAGGACATGTGAGTTATGGTTGGATCAGGCTCGAGTCGTAGAGTAACGAACGGAGGTTCATAGGTAGCTAAAGGTGAATTAGGTTCCTCTGACGATGTGTTCTCAATCTGACGCGCTGCCCGTCGATTCTTCTGTTGGAATGTAGCTACTTTTACGGTCTGAAAGTAGAGTGGCAACCCTTCTTTAGATGTAGCATACTTTATCGCTTTCAAAGTCAGTCATTTCATCGTTCTAGGGCCGCTGTAAAACCCCGGGGGCACCTAAACCCGAAAAGCCCAGAACTACAAGACGAGAGGATTACATGCGAGCGAAATGAAAAGGCAGCACGAGACAAAGTCATGCGACGGTCCCCTTTCACCCTACGGACCCATGCCGGACTGTCAACAGGGATAGCGGGGCATTTGATAGGCTGCTGCTGCGGCTTTCGTCTTCGTCGACAAGATGCACTGCAAGACGTAACGCCGGATAAGCCAATGCGTTCCCGGAAGACGACGGAGAACAGTCGTAATTTGCAAATACGATGATGCGGTGGCACCACCTTCGTACAGGAGTGCATGCATGAATATCACCCAGAAACGCTGCAATGATACTCGTGCGTACATGTGTAGACTGTGGATATTAGTACCAACATACATACCCTCGTCCATGATTCCTGATTCTGTCGGTCTGACCACGATTCCTGCACGGATCTCGCTCGATTTGCAGAAAAATTTGCCGTGTCGTGTCCAGCCACTCCGTTTTGCGACTAGGCTCAGCCGCTGGCCCCGTCTCACGGTGCCGAAGACCACTCCCGTCCAAAATCCGTGAAACACTCCTCCGTAATGTGATATTATACAGTCAGAAGAATACGAGAGTAACACTGTACTGTATTGATCGTGATCCATCAGTAGATGCCACTAACAGCACTGCGGCCCCTAGTGACAAAAACGATGAAACCGAGAGGGAAGGATGGGGATTGCCTCTATAGCATCACAGTGGTATATATATGCGAAAGAGCAGATCCCATATCACATAAACCTTTGTACAGCACAATATCATGTAATAGATGTATAGAGTGTACGAATTACCATCTCAAATTGTGTCAATTTTCTATGTAGAACAATAAATAAGAATAACATTGTTTATGATGTGATGAGCATATATATATTCCCATGTAGTCTCGATATTGAATTTCCTCTTGTATTCTTTTACAAATAAGTTGAGTTGACATTTTTAACTCTTTCAAATCCCTATGCTAGAGTGTTAGAAGATGAACACTATGCATACCCATCTACTCGAAACCTTGAATCTTGAACTATCTTGTGTCCATTCAGGGGTATGAGTAATCATCTATCCCAAACTAGAACATGAGCAACAACGTTTGACAATAACATCCCCCATAAACTTCTGGTAAATGACTAAAAATGGAGAATCACTTCTATCTTGTCATAACAAACATTTACAATGCCATCGTGAGTATATATCGTATGCCATGTGATATTGAACCTTCAGATGGTATATGCTCAACTCGTCATATAAACCTTGCTACATCTAAGGTAGTATCAGAGATGCAGGTACCAACAAATAGTCACCTAATGTCATTGGAATAGTGTGTAGGTGTGAGTGGTTAAAGCCTGAGGATGATGGAAGCAAGATCCAATAGCTCTTGCACATTTGCCAGAGCAAGAGCCTACATGAACTCTACAGTAGAAAAGGGAATGGCTGGGCGACTTCTAAAACTGTAGGTACATTCGTGTAGAGTATGTGGATAGCGAATAATGATGGGAACACCACATCAAGCCGTACAAGGGCATGCATCTTTGTAAATTATATACATGTATCCAATCTTAGACTAAAGTGGAAAACTACGAGTCAAACATCTCTTTGCTTGACGTACTACAAGTATCAAGGTACTATTACATGTGCACCCCATGTTCGCGCAGTTGAATATACACCGATTACCATAACATGCACATGGATGGTCGAGATATTATCTCACAATCCTGATAGAAGAGTGCCGTCTTGTCAATGAGTCTGAGGTGGCCAATGTAACCCTAAAGTACTCAGTCTGTCAGAACCTGTACTATTTTGGCATTATTTTCATCTATTAGTAAATGTGTATTAGATAAGTTCCTCTTGTCAGTTAAACTATGAGTGAGGATCTATAATGTTTAGGGTATGAGGGTCCGCAAAACTTGGGTGTAGGCATACCCACAGAATCTACCGAACGATGTTACATATCGATCAATTCATAGGAATAACGTGCTCCGTATCTATCGATTTATGTCCTTGTGAGTTGATGAACACTTTTTGCTAAATCAATGGTAACTTGTGATTTTTCAAGTTCTTACAGTACCAAGTCTTGAAGTGACAATTCGCTGATGATATATGAAAGAGTTGACCTGCATTGAAAGTACACCATCAATAGTTGAATGCAGCAAAAACTGAGAAGAGTATCCTCGAGGCTTGCATTGCCGGACTTTGATACCTAATGTCTATTCATCCGAGGTTGAGAGTTGTATTCCTTCCAGGCTTGTGACGAGGAGAACACTTGATGATGTTAGTCTTGATGATACCGTAAACTTTTAATTATTTATGAATTCATTATTTACTTTAGGAGTGGTTAGTTATGATTCAATTTATGCTAATTATACTTCACCCTGCAAAAATTATAGTTTTTTGCTAGCAATTATCTTCATGGTAACCGGTTTGTTTTACAGTGAACACACAAAGAAGAGTCTCTTGATAGTTACATTTTTCTCTTGTTACGAACCGTCGTCTGCTTAAAATCACACGGCGTAGCCTAATCCAACGCCTAAACTTGCATTGCCCATAACCCAGTGTCCAATGTTCATTGTTTGAAGTCTCACACTCAACATTGGAGGGAAAGTGTTCATTTTGAAATGAGATCGCCCTCACCAATCACAGACCTCAATTCTTAAATAATTTATATATTTTTTTGTAATTTTAAGGGTAATTAACATAAATTGAGGACTAACTAACTAACTAATTTTATTTTCCCTATAACAACCGAGAGTGAACATAGGAGGTAATGGCATAAGAATGGTAATTTGAACAATCAATCTGAATGGACAATTTGAACAACAATTCTTCCTGCATGGAAAGATTTTGGGTAAAAATATTTACCAATTCTGATATCATTATATTGATAAAGTTAGACTATTGTGTCAATATATATATATATATATATAAAATTATAATATGTAACAAAAATACTTTCTCTTATTTGTGCAATTAAAAAAATATTTTTTTACATTTATCCTTTACATTTTTTTATATCATACTATTTATTTCCATGGAAAAATATTTATAGAGACATGTGTTTTGCTTTGAAAAATAAGATTCATGCAATAAGATTTGAAGTCATTCTTTTGCTTGACAATCTATTCTCATAGCCCGTGACATACAAAGATGGAAAGGTATGGAAATCAGGATAATTGCTTGATGGGACCCCTGGAAACTGAAATTACTTGATGACACCCAATAGGCATCATTTTACCCTATCGTTTCCCACTCAATGGCACACTGTCACCTATGTTCCAATATTACAAGTTACACCATGGTGGATACATCGTTGGGCGAGGAGTATTCATGGTGACAAGATTGGTGCTGTCGTTCATTCTACCCAACAGGACAGAGAGACCAGACATGGGGGAGGTTATGAATGTTCTCACGGAGACCCTGGAAATGAAAGGCAAAATCGTTGAGCATTAGGAACACGGTGCTCACCCAACTGTCCCATACTCTAGACAGCTGAAGCTTGGATTTCCTCCAAAGGCTCTCACACCTACTTCTCACTCTTACCCATCGTCTGAGATTTACACTCATTCACCTTCGAACACAGACCCAGATAGATCGATCTTGAGAGTCAACTGATGTCAATCGATGTGTTGAGTCTGAGATTCCATACATGATTCGCTTCAATTCAGATCTTAGCTCCCGTTGTCAAGCACAAAATTCCTTTCGAGTTTTCGAGTTTAACTTCCCAAGTAGGAAGTTCTCTTTGTTTTTTCAGATGCAGATATGGCAAGATGATATCGGGAGTACTTAGCATCATCGTGCGAGTAGAACGAGTTACCAAAATAATCTCAATGGAGAAAGTATTCTGGCCTGATAGTGGCAAACAGTATCCATAATGCAACACAAATTATCAAGTTATAATAACTTTGATTAGAACATGTACCATGGTGACATGCATGGCGGTTGAGTGGGGTTCCATAGGGTAAATTCAAACCTATTGGGTCCATAAAATAATTTGAGTTTCCCAGGGGTCCACCAAGCAATTATCTCACGGAACTCGCAGTTACGATCGAGAGCAGAGGAAAAATGGACACAGCGGAAAACGATCGGACGGGAATCAATCGAACCGCAAGATTGCGAAGCGAAGGGCAGGTCGAGTCTACTGTGAGTGCGGGAGAGAACGACGACGTTCTCAGTCGACAGTGGTCGTGGTCGTGGTGCAGCGCAGCGAAGGGGCGGGAGGGCGGGTATTCGGGACTGTGGTAGAGCTCCTAGAGGCGTTCGTTGCCAAGCGACGAGGAAGAAGAGGAGGAGGAGGAGGAGGGGCAGCAGGAGGAGTCGGGCGTCTTCGTCCCCCCGTCTATATTTGAGGCGAGCAGCCAGTGTGGCAGTCGGGACATCTGACGCTCGACGAGTGCAGCGGATGGACTGAGACTCGATTTAGGTGCGCGGGAGGGAGGGGAGGGGGGCGGGGCGGGGCTGGGCGGGCGGGAAGGAGGGCACGGACGGGAGTCTGGATGTGACTCGCTCGCAAACGTGAGCTGCCAAAATTCGGGAAACGATTTCTTTGCGAAAAGCCAGTTTGCTCACTCTGTCCCCGCGAATGGCGATGCGATTCGAAGATTTGCGCTCCCTCGTGCAGCAGTTCTGACGCTCTGAAATCTGAGACATCCCCCAGAAAGCGCCTGATTTCTATAAAATTACCAACTGCCCTTGCCGTCTTCGGCTGCCAATTGGGGATCCCTGCTCGCCTGCCTGCCTGCCTGCCTTCCTTCCTTCCTTCCTGCCCTCTCCTCTCTGCTCTGCTCTCTCTCTAAGGGCCGGCCCCCGCTCCCTGCTCGCTCGCCGTATCGCCCCGCATCAGACTGGTTTCGGTAGGTTGGAATCGAGGAAGCGATAAAACTTAAGGGGTATGAGGTTTGTCGAGGGAACGAGCCAGCCGCAGAGGATATGAAAGTCATCGAGGGGCGCGGGGATCTGTGAGCAGGAAGAGAAGATTCGACTGGTGACGAAATTGGAGGCGTCGAGTAGCGTCGACATGATCGGAAACGTCGGCCCCAAGGGCCAAGTGACCAAGTGGGTTGGATTAGCGGCAGGGATATGGGTGCAAGCTCTGGCAGGAAATGGGAACGTGTTTGCGCATTATTCCACGGCTTTGAAAAACGTTTTGCAGATCAACCAAGTGCAACTCAACAATCTAGGAGTGGCCAAGGATTTCGGAGAAAATGTCGGTCTTCTCGCCGGAGGTCTGTGTAATCTCCTCCCGACATGGGTCATTCTTCTCATCGGTGCCCTCGAGTGTTTCTTCGGCTATGGAATTGTGTGGCTTGTCATGAGCGAACACATCGCGCCGCTGCCCTATTGGCAGGTAATTTTCATTCCCCTGTCTCGGATCGCATGCCGAGATGCTTCTCCCGACTTCTTCTGTTGCTTTGTTTCGTCCGCATCCCCAATTCTAACTGTCAGATTTCTGCAAAGATTGCTCTCATCAGGGCCCCTCAGAGTTTCGTATTACTGTCCCCACATGATCGACTGTCCTCATCGTGTTGTGATGCACTCCCCGGGAACTCACCACTGGCACGGCTTCCCACGAGGACAGCTGAGTAGTGCTCAGGGTTTACAAAGGTTTGCATGTCTGCGACCCAGAGCTCGTGTGGCCGTGTTTTTCACAGTCTTGCCACAAATTAGCGTCTGAGCATCGATGTCTGCGAGCAGGGTGGCGGTTGACCAGTAGTTGAGAGCTGATTGAGCGTAGCAGTCCCCTCTACACGTCCGAGATTCCGTGTCGTCCAGCCTCGACATTTGAGTGCAGCGAGAAGTAGGACAGCGAACTTCTTTGGTGGTCGCTTCTGTTGATGTCGGGCGTGGACGTGGTTCCCGACATCCGCCCAATTGTGCTGCCACCATATCAACTCTCACCCAAGTCTTAAGCTCGACTGGAAAAGTGGTCGATCGAGAGAGAGAGAGAGAGAGAGAGAGAGAGAGAGAGAGAGAGAGAGAGAGAGAGAGAGAGAGAGAGAGAGAGAGAGAGAGAGTGCCGCTTCGCTCTAGAACACTGCCATCTCTCGATCAAGATGGCGGTGTTCCTCACGAGCGGAAGAGAGATTGAAAGTGAAATTCGAGTGGGAGGGGTCCAGGGACGAACGCAAAATCGAACGTAGCGTGATTAGAGAGCTGAGGGATGATTGAGCGAGTTGTTGACTGACACAAGTGCGGGTCGATGGACGCAGATGTGCGTGGTGCTGTGCATGGCGTCGAACAGCATGACATGGCTGAACACGGCAGTGCTGGTAACGTCGATGAGGAATTTCCAGCAGAATCGAGGGACAGTGGTGGGCATCATCAAAGGATTCATCGGCCTGAGCGGGGCCATCTTCACGCAGTTCTACGTGACGCTCATGACGGACAACCCCACGGCGCTGGTGCTCTTCGTGGCCCTGGGGCCGAGCCTCGTGTGCCTCACGGTCATGTACTTCATCCGGCCCGTGACCACGCCCGACGGGGCGCCGCCCTACTACGACCCCAAGGAGCACAGCGGCTTCGTCTTCATCCATGTCGTGTGCATCTCGCTCGCCGTCTACCTCTTCGTCTCGACCTTGAGCGAGAATGTCATCGTCTTCACTCCTCTCGTGGCCCGCACCATGCTCGCAGTGCTCGTCATCTTCCTCTCGGCGCCGTTCCTCGTGCCTGCCAAATTCCTGTTCGACAAACGAACGTGGAAGGCCGTGAACCATCGCGAGCACTCCTACTCGTACGACGCGCTGCTGCCCCCGGGCGTGCACGAGCCATTGCTGAAACCGACGGGCAACAATGGGCATGCCTCGAAATCCAAAGCTGCTGCCGCCGCCGCCGGCGACGACGGCGACATGCCCGTGTCCACGGGCGGCATTCCTCCTCCTCCGAGCCGCGATCGCTACCGCATCGAGCCCGTGGCGTCGCAGTCCGACCTCTCGTACGACTCGGACCGATCCAAGCACGAGCGCGCCTCATTCATGTGCCTGGCTCCCAACAATCCCGACATCGAGGGCGATGCCGACGACTCCACTCTCCTGGCCGTGGGAGAAGGAGCGCTGCGGCGCAGGCGCAAAGGTCCTCATCGCGGCGAGGACTTCACTCTCTCGGAAGCCATGGTCAAGGCCGACTTCTGGCTCTTGTTTCTCACCTACTTCTGCGGCGTCGGCACCGGCACCACCGTTTCCAACAACATGGGCCAGATCGGCCTGTCCCAGGGCTATGCGGATGTGACCATGTTCGTCTCTCTGTTCAGCGTGTGGAACTTCCTCGGTCGTCTGGGAGCGGGCTCTTTGTCGGAGCACTATGTCAGGTACGATCTATCGCATCACTCTGTTTCTCGTCGATTGTCAGGGGAATCCGAGCCCAGCCCATGGTCAGTGGGACAGTTTCACTCGTTCCCTGCGTGAATCGATAGTCAGTAACGATGATGATTGATGTTCAGCACAACGACACCTGTTTGACTGGAGTGAGGGTAGAGGGAATATGATTCTTACAACCCTTGCAGATCGAGTTAGCGTTGTCGGGTCAGTTGGAGTGGAATCCTCAGTAATGTCGCCCACTTTGTGGGCCATTACATTTTGATGTTGGTGGACATAGAAGCAGTGTACTCTTGTAGGTCTATTGGGAGGTCTTTTGAGCGTGTTCCATAGGATGTACAATATGTACGGTCGTTTTGTCTTCAGGTTTGATGAAAATGTGGCTCGACGAGTAGGTACACAAGTTTGTTAAATCTCGACTCAGTTGCTGGTGTGTGGAGTGGGAATTTTGTTTGTGAAGGATGTCGAAATGACATGCACTTTTGTCCGTGCAGGTCATCGGCTATACCTCGCACAGTCTGGTTGCTCGTAGCTCAGGCGGTCATGATTGTGGCACACCTGCTCTTGGCGACAGCTCTTCCAGGCTCTTTATTTCTAGGATCAATGCTTCTTGGATGTTCCTTCGGGGTGCATATTGCCATCATGGTGCCTGTGGCTTCAGAGCTTTTCGGACTCGCAAACTTCGGCGTCATTTACAACTTCATCACGATTGGGATGCCCATTGGATCTATGCTCTTCTCCGGAGTCCTTGCAGGGTACATATACGATAGAGAAGTTGAAAAGCAGAAAGGAGGCAACGGTGTCATGGAGAAGGAGATTGTGGCAAGCTTCTTGAACAATTCGTATCACCTTATGTCCGAGGAGGCGGAAGAGACGGCATGTATTGGAGCACACTGCTTTAGAACAACTTTTATCATCATGGCTGGGGTGATGGTTTTTGGAATGCTTGCCAATTTGTTGCTCACGTACAGAATCTGGCCCGTTTACAAATCCATGTATCAAAACTCTCGCCCCAACTCCTCGGCCGCTCTAAATGACGGAGAAAATGGCGGTTCCAGTCCTCGATCCACCAGACGAGACCTCCACTGATCCTGATAACGTATCCGCAATTTTAAATAGTTATAAAATTTAGTCAAACTGCCCTATACCCGCCATCTGCCTCCTCCACATCTGGGTCTGACAAATATGTATCATCCATTTCCTCAACCATGTATTGGAACTCAGAAGCTCAAATTCCGTTTCCAGGTTGGATCCCACAAGACTAGTGCCATTTTTGTAACTGCTGCGTTTGCCACTGAAAATCCGCCCAGCAGTGTACTGAGCCAACCTCGCAGAGATGTACGATAGAATCCTTCTAATGGAAGATCGACTTGATCAGATTGCTTGCGAACCGATCTGGTTACCGAGCTTTCTAAGGAAAACACGTGTTGATAGGCCTTGAAGTCTGCCCCTTTGCTAAGAAGATCTCGACATATTGTCAACCTTCATTCACAAGAATTTGATGACATTGGTCCGAAGGTGATCGTGGTACAGTCGAATTCTAAATCCGTGTGTTTTTTCTCTACGTGTCTTATGGATTCTCTTTTTGTAAAGTCGTATTACTCTCTTTTTTTATCATATGATCAGTAGCATGAAACCAGTCTCCGGCGGACTTTGAGTAGCACATGATCTTAAGTCTATCTTCCTCACTTGTCACACGCAGAATCTTGTTGTCTATTCCTAACGATGCGTCTGATTGGATCCTACGTACACCTTTGATTGAGGCTTTTAAGTACAGGTGTGCCCACACCGTCGTACAAACGCTTACTACACTGCAGTTAAAGTGCCGACCCTTGCAAGAAAATTTAAGTGTATCAACAATCACTCTTTTCCTAATAACTGTGGTAAACAGTGCCTCCGAGTTATATTGTTCATCATACCCCGTATGTAAAACTCTGCAGGTTAAAAGTAATGCAGAGCTACTTGTGAGAATTTGTAGATCAGAAGTTGAAACTAGAGTGGAATCTTTGCTGTTGAAGTTTGGGAAACGAGGATGTTTGTTGGAAATCTTGAAATGTAGGATAATTTCTAAAATTGTATTATGTAAAGGAACTATTCTAGGCTAACTATATTTCTACTTGTGCCTGAACATCCTCGTCAGATAGAAGTATCTTTTGGGAATCTTCTGTAACATATCAAACTATTCGGAAAACAAAAATTTAGAGAAATGGTGAGACAAATTAAGACAATACCTGGCAAGGTGAAACTCGCCAACGAAACCCAAATTTAGTTTTTTCTACCTTATTATTATACGAAGACAAATGGGGATTACCTAAGAATCACACACGGAATGTAATTCCAGTGAATAGAATCTCCTTGAAGAGAGCAAAGGTGACCGTGCTCGCTAGGCCTCTAAAAGGTAAGGTAATATTTTAAAGTTACAAGTTAAAGGTAGAGATTTGGTTATAGAGTAGGGTAAAGTATAGCCATATGGATTATCCGGTAATTATTTGGTAAACCTAGTACCCCCAATAACAAAAATGTGTATATTCTCAGAATTATTCATAATATGATTCTCAATAATTATCTGGTAAATCTAATATCGCGAAAAACAAAAATGTGTATACTCTCAGAATTATTCAGAATGTGATTCTTCATATTCTTCTAAAAGTAAAATAAATTATTTTCATCTTTTAGGATAAAAATAATATGGTAATTATTTGATAATTTTGATCTTTTACACTTTAGAATAAAGGTATTAAAGTAATTACCCAGTAACCCTAATGCAAAACTAATTTTTAAATTTTTATTAGTTAACCCGATAATTACTCGAAAGTAGAAGAAAAGATAAAGGTAAACAATAGTTACATGGTGGTTTATCGGGTTTACCTAGCCCATGGGTTACCCGGTTACATTTTACGTTAGTGCTCGCCCAACACTTGCAGAATCTAGCCGCGGTTATGGCTCGCTTGGGACTGTTTGCGACTGAGCGAGATGGAGCAGTCCCAAGCCATTCTGGCTAAGTCCAGCACGTCATCCCAGATCGAGTTTTCGAGCTGAGAGGTCGGTCAGGTTGCAATTTGAAACCACTTAAGCTTTTTGCCGCAGCCATAGGACCTAGAGCACCGAATCACAAAGAAGCGATCAACGTTTGCCAGAAGCCTAGCAAGTGGGCCGGTAAGTCCATGCCGAGAAGGCATTGCTCCCACGTAAGTCGCGGCCAGGGCATGGTATTACGAGAGATCCCTGCGAGGAGATTGAGTACAGTACCTGGGAACTTCCGAGCGGCTTGGGCTGCCGCACATTCAAAGAATGCATGGTGGATGGATTCCGGCACATCTTGTGAACAACATGAGCAGCGATCTGATGTAGACTTCTGGTCGACGTGACGCCATTGTTTGACTGCAATAGCCTTATGGTGCACATTTCACATGAAGGCGGCCTCCTTACGAGGGCGCCAGTCTCCCACAGTGCCTTCCAGTTCGGTATGAAAGATGCCGGTACTAATCCACTCCGTTTGGCGCTGATTGGGAGGGAAAGACTCGGTCGGGAGCGATGCCAACGACGACTCCGTTGTGCCGTATAGGCATTGAACAGCTCCCGGGTGCCATTTCCAGCGCCTCGGGTCAAAGGTGAATGTCACTACAAGTGCCAGAAATTTAAAGGTACCTGCAGAGGACTTTTGGGAGGCTGGCCGTGAGGTCTGGATGATGCGGACGCGCTAGACAACGCCAGAGAAGAGGCAGTGGCCTCTCACCACCTGAGCGTGGCTATTGAATGAGTGTAACTGGGGATTAACCATGGAGGTGTCATAGCTCGGGGTATTAGCGTATCTTGAGAAGTCGCCAAGAGAGGGGAGCAAACTCCTGGAGCAGCTTGGAAGACGATCAAGGGAGAACCTTCCGGGACAAAGAAAAACCCTCCCGTCATTCACCCAGTCGAGGGATAACTTGCGTCTCATGAGCCAATGTGAACCACGCATCAGGGACCTTCGATTGAAACAAGTCAATCTGGCGACGCTCGTCATCGTTCAACCCGTACCGCTGCTCGAGTTCATCCCTCATACGAAGGATCATGGACTGGTTGAGCAATAGGTCCGGAATACAAAGAAACCCACGACACGTCGACTGCCGAACACGCTCCAACCTGAAGCCGAAATTACTCCCCAAGAAATGGGATGTTCACCATAAACCAGGCCTCATAAAATTTGGCCAAATTTGCCAAAAATAAAAACTCAATGTTGCCAAAATTAAATGGTTATTTTAATTTCTGAGTTTGATGCAAAAATTCAAATATCGAATATTTGAAAAATTAAAAACTGATTTTATAATCTTTTAAAAAAGATAAAAAAAATTTAATATCATATTAATAACATATGTATTTTAAAATTCATCAAAATTGTTGACTTATTTATAAATCATTATTTTGGTCAATTATGAAAAAATTGATGATAAATGAATTAATTTTATGATTTAATTTTTATATTTGCGTATTAAATTAACTATTTTGTGCAATATTTTTTAATTATAAAATTAAAAATCAAGCTCAATTTTAAAAAATCTGATAAGATTTAAATTTTTTAAATAATCTTCAAAAATTATAAGCTCTGAATTATCAACTTATATGTTTTAAAAGTATAATGAAATTCTAACTCATATATTTTTTTCTATGCTTAAATTTTTTAAACCATGATTTTGAATCATATATATCTTTTATGCATTCAATTTTGATTTGCATAATTATTTGACATGTTCATCCAAAAGCTAATTGCGAATAGACATTTATTGCTTATTGTTGTAAAAGTTTCATTTTTTTCTTTGACTTATTAGAAATACCAATCATCTTGATAAATGATTTCAATCTATCAACCTTCATTATGTGAGCTTAGTAAAATATGTAATATATTTTCTTTGCTAAATCTTCTTATTTATGAGTATTCTGTATATCTTTCTTGTATGATTGAAGCTACTGATGACTCCATTGTTTATAATATCATGCATTTTCCGGAATACGATGGTGGCAACCATTGAAATTCATTCTCTCTAATTAGAATACACACAATACCAATTTTGTCAAAATTACTCAAAGAAAATTGCCAAAATTAAATTAATTTTGGCAAACTTGGCATTTGCCACACACTATGAGACCTGCCATAAACTTGTGTTCTGCCTCTCCTAGAATGTTTGCGAGGGCAAGGTTTTGACCAGGGGCTTAGACATCGCCAGCTTAATGAGTCGAGTTTATAACTTCGATGCATGAGGCGCCAAAAACTTTACCAGAATGGTACATTGAGGTGAATGTGCCCGCAATCTAGCCAGCCGGTGGCGCAACAAGATATGTGAGGGAGAGATGTCGGACGTGAGCACTTTGATGACCCAATTGCTCATCATGGCAATCAAGGCATCCTCCGGATCCACGATTCCAAGATCATCCACATTCTTTGATGTGCAACAATCATTCCATTTCACTCTTCCACGCGAATGCTTCTCTTTACCGGCACTTAAATAATTTCGCAAAGAGCTTTGGGTTATTCAAAGAATTGCGATTGAGCCTCCCCATATGCTCAAAAAGTACCGCAAGGTCAACAAAAGTTCACAACGACGGTTCTTGCGGCCAGAGAAAGGTGGATTGAAGACAAGTACTTGCGTTTCTTATTGATCTTCGCGGCCAGGAATTGATGCACATCTATGGTTACCATATTAACTCCAATAGGGGTTTCAAGTAACTTGCTGAGGGAGCCTGGAGAGCAATGTTACATCCGAAGGAGATCAGCTAGGTAGATGGAGTGTGATTGGCGTACCAATAAATTTTGCACTTGTGTCAATTCAAGGTGAGGCTCGTCGCCTTGCCGAATGTTGTTACAAGGTTAGAGGCGGCCAGCAAGTTCTGCAACCTCTGGGCTGACTCTCATGCAGGTTTACCTCAGATGGCTTTGTGGTAGCTCATCATGGCTCTAGAAGACTAGGATTTTCATTCATACCCGTACCCCAAACACTCTTTCACACAAACTCTCCATACATCATTCAATTCACACAAATTCAAACACACGTCGATACTCCGAGATACTGAAAAACCTCATTTCTTCATTCTTGAAACAAATCCTCACACGTGATTCTCTGAACTTGCTTGAGAGGTGCTACTCTAACTCTCTATTTATACTACTTGAGAAATTACCATAGTAACATGTGCTAATTTCTCATAACTTACTTTTTCCTAGGTAGATTTGATTAACCCACTATACGTGGCAACATGCCATTAGTCTACCTAAACATTCTAGAAGTTTCCAAAATCCGAGCTTGAGGTGGCAACATGACATTGGAAGTTTATAAACTTCTAGAAGCTTTCTAGCCACAAAGTCAACATTATATTTAGTCTAGCCAATCATCTTTAATATATTTAGTCAAACCAATCAAATCTAAGCTTATAGTCAAATATCCAATACTTTGGACTCTAGACCTTTGTAAAAGACAAAATAGAAGTGTTCACTCCACTCTTCTAGAACTCCGCTAATTATTCCGTCAACTATAGAGATTATATCTAAACTTAATCATGACTAGATAAACTTAGTTATAACTAATTGGTTTAGTCACAACTAGCTAGACTTAGCTTGATCTTGGCTAATCATCATTAATCACTTGGTTACTTGTACAAC